AGCTAGCCGTGGTTGCAAACGGATGTGTATAGATTGTATTGTAACTGAGCTCGTTTAATTGTGAATTGCTGTAAATAGTAAAAACTTCTCGTTTTTATAGAAAGTGTTACATTTATTCCTCCCGTGCGCGATCGCGAGTGCAAGCGCGAGCGTAATAATATATATAAATATTTATTTGTTGCCATTTTCATATCGCAAAGTGAACAGTTTCAACATAATATACAATATAATGACTTACAATATAATGACTATGACATGCGCCATGTTCGGCACTTTGCCCACTTGCAGTTGGACAACTTTGTTTTCATACTTATCTATAGTTTTGTTAAAATATAATTTCCTGTTGTCTTAATTAATTCCACTTCTGATGAGTACACTTCTATTGTAGTAAAAAAGAACAAACTTCTTATATTTCCGCCAATCATTGTAGAGGTGCTGCTTTGATGAATGAAGTTTACAACATATGTTATTAATTCATTTTTTAAATACATTTCTTCATCAACTTGAATAGCATGCTTTTATAATAGTTACATCGATTATTGCGAATAGAAGCTTACAAAAATGTCATTGCTATTTGGAAATGAATGAATAAATTTATTTTAACATGACAAACATTAATCTATATGTGAGAACATATACATATTAAAGCGCACGTATGCACATTAGTCTCTTTATTACAATCCCAGGTCTTTTAGACGTTTTCAGACGTCTTCTTGTTACCTGGGATTATATATATTATATACTTTAATTCTTAGGTTTTTTTCCCTGCACACTTATAAACAGGTCTTTACGGATTTTCATTGTGTACGAATCATTTCTTTAGACGCTTTTACCAATAAAAGAGACTTTAGAATATGGACTATTATGAATATATCCATAGAATCAGAACCATTTGGAATCTGAAGAATGGGCCCCTCCATCGCCCATCCCCGTGAGACGCTACCATAATTTGAATTTTCGTTTCTCCGATGTAAAGTAGCATGTGGTATCATAAAGCATAACTATTACAGCGCTATTTTTTGCTTCATAATTGCTGTCTTCATTTTTCACAATGTTAATTAAGCATAGTGTCTCTTTTATCACGCGTAACAATAAGTCTAATGACTCATCATTCAATTTGAACCCAACACTATTTGAACCCAACACATTCTTTTTCACTATACAAAGAGGAGCAATCATGTCAACTAAAATTTGTTTGCGCTTCGCCATCTCATCCTTCGTTAGATCGACATTTTTACAGTCAGAAACTATTATACAATCATGTTTATTAGTATCTACAAACGCCATTGTATCAGTAACTGCTGCTTCTATTGGCGAAATATCCTGTTTTACTCTTTTGTTTGTGACGCAAATATTCTCTCTGTCTGTCTTTCTCTTATTATTAAGTTGATGATTGTTTTTGAAATACCTTTTCTTTGACCTCCAATATATAAGGAAGATTTCTAATAGGTATGTGTCTATTATGGCGATTGTCTAAAATTTCTAGTAACATGCATTCGTAATAAAAACGTGTAAAATGTGACAACATTCCATTTTTCCAAAAACCACTATTTCTAGTTACACGTACAATCTTTGAGTTTCTCGGTGTCCATATTACAAAAATGCAATAATTTCTGGGTTATATTTAATTGACTCTGCACCTGATAGAAAGATCGGTGATTACGATTCATCTTATCAGGATTACTTTTATCAAATATACCTTTTATTTGAGGCAACGTTTGCACAGCTTCTTCTGTAGTTAAATTCTCTACTGACAAAGGACATTTAATTTCAATTAAACCATCATCATCGATGACCCCATTAGGAGAAGCTCCTAAGCATGGATTTTCTGTATCAATAAATAATCCGCATAAGTTAATTTTTTATTTAGTTTTTTGGCTACTTCCTTTCTAACATTTTCTTTATTATCACGACCATATCTTAAAGCTACAATATCAACGGTTGGAGAAAATAAAATGTTCTTTACAATCATTACGCAGGATGTTGTCGGTCTCATGCGACATACAATCCCGAAATTAGACGCCGTCAATATTTCATGTCTCAATGATTGCCACAATTCTGATTCATTTTGGATTACTATATCGCGTTCTATTTCCTCCCAGTTTTGAACATTTTCAAGTAATTTGTGCATATGATTAAGGCGGAGTTGTTGTAGCGCTTCTTCAGAGAAATCTGGTTTTTCCGATTTGAGCCTATTATGATGATTTGTTGCACAATCTCCTTTAAATTTTTTTTGTCTTCCACTGACTTGTCGACATTCTCTATTTCGGCTCACTTTCATTTGTCGCCGTTTTTCTATTTTTCTGATAACAGGAGAAACATTGTTCCAATTGTTTTTGTGCACTTTCATCAGAACTTGTTGCGTATTATATTGAACGGCTTCTGCTATTCTATTATAAGAATTTATAAGAATATTGTGCACCGAAATTTATACATTTTCCGCCAATTTCTTTACAAATAATAGAATTGAACAATTCTGCAGGGTTGTTAGTTGCATTTAGTAGTAAGCTGTCAAAATGAGCGCTGAGATACATGACAGCACTTTCTACTTTTTGATATAATCCATGTGCTTTTAAATTAGGAACATAATTGGTCTTCTTATCATGGGAATTCTTAATACATATGCGACCACGTTTCTTACATCGCTTATGCTCACCAAAGATATGACTGGAAATGTTCAAGATATCTTTTTACAATTCCACTGCCTTCAAATGTTGAGGTTGCTTGTCTTCTCTTCGTTGAGCAGCTGCTTGTATCATTTCCTTTCGTATTTTTAATATGTTGTCCTTCACAACATTTTGTACTTGTACAAAGCCACGCCTCCCTTGTTGTTTAGGCTGAGTCGTTTCGGCTGTGGCTTTCAACTTTTTACATAGATTGCGAAGGAGATGATTCGTACATTCAACTTTTTTTTTCGTTATCATATAATCACGATATGGTTTGTTATTTATAATGGACTGATACACGTTGTTGTCGCCATCGGCAACAACTGTTTTATAAATTAATCCATGCATTTGGAGACTATTTTTGAATCTTTCTACAATTACATCACTTTCCATGCTTGTAGGACTTGCGTTACAGAATTTTTGTAATATTTATGTATATTAGGTTCAATGTTTTGTCGTTCTGCCATATCACATATTGTACAAAATTTGTTACGGATTCCTACGAAAAGAACTTTTTTTGTCCGGAACCCAATATCAGCGCCAATACCAGAAAGTGAATCAGACGCGGTGCCATAGGATCTTTTCAACTGCCAACTGCTACAACTGTTATATACGGGATACCGTTTATAACAGTTTCATTTCTTTCGGGAGCTAGTTGCTTTTCAGCCTGACCTGCCCTTTTCATTGTTTCCATAGCTGTTTTCTGAAATTCATCGACTAATTGTTCTCGATATTTAATATATATCTTCTCTGACATGCACGGTATGTTTAAGGATGCAATAGCTCGTCAAATTAATAAAAACCGTTTCCAGATGTCACTGTTCCAAGAACGCAGAACACGCAATCGAGATCTCCGACATCGATGAAACTCATCAGAGCAATCTCAAATCCGCGTAATCGGCGCTAGCGCATCATCGCGCGAGCGAACCGTTCCGTCACCGCATAACGCATACAGCGTGTACCGGTTCTCCGAGTACGAGTCGCATTGCGACAACAACCATTCCAAAACCGGCTAGATTAAAAGTCAGTATCACCAACGTTTAAATCCCGCTGAGTACACAAACTCGCAAAGCGTGCGATAGAAGAACGCAAAACAACATCAACCGCGTCCCATGAACCGCTCGCGGACCTGGGCTCACGCAACTGTAAGAGCGAAGTAAACTTATACTTACGACGTGAGCAAAAACGCGACCACATACCAACGGCGTCGCTATCCTTATATATAATTTTGTAAATAGCGTTTATCAGAATATAGTTTATACATATTATCACCTATACCGCTGCTTCAAATTTATTGAGCCTAATCTTGGACCGTACCGACTAAGTCTATCCCGCACGCAAGAGCGTTACACCTATTTAGAAAAAAAAAACATATTCTGACACCAATGATTTGATCCAACGGAAAAGTGACAAATCACAGTGTCAACACTTATTTTTTACACTAATCACACAGTATAACAATACACAATACAAAGTTTTTCTCGTTAAACGTTTTGAAATGTTGTTACTTGACAAGTGCAATAGTACATTAAAGAACTGCACGTTGCGATCAAGGTTGCCACCCTCGCCTCTATAGAAACTATTTGTTGGAACAACACCGTCGAAACAATAACGAATTTCAATAATTATTGCAAATTGTTTATTAATTATAATTATTATTAAATTATTATTAAACATAAAAAAGACAATAAAATGAAGTACACTATTAAAAATAAATAAATGTAAGATTTCACTTATGTAAAAGGAAGATAAAAATTAATAACAAATGAAACGATCGGAGTTGGGACTCGAACGTTCGTCGTCAGCATAAGAAACATTTGGTCGGTTCCCTTAATCCTCTCGGCTACACTGCTTTTATGACTCATAACGTTAAGTTGTTCTTCATGTAAAAGAATGGGTAAATAAGTCCAAATGTACCTTGATGTTTCCAAAGAAGATTCCAATGTATATTTATGCTTAAAGCAAATGGCGAATCAAGGTGGAGTATTGTTGGATATGACTGCAGAAGAAAATATTATACATACAATATTATTTCTCTTTATAGAAGAAGAATATTATTATATTAATATCTTTTCCCCTATAAGATGGAATATTAATAAAATATTTATCTGCTGTGAAGAGAAATAAGGGTGTATTTAAACTAATCTTTTATTGCAAATGAGGGATGGATGTTTATGGACAGTGTGAAGAGAAAAAACAATCTAATAAGTAAATTTTCAATTGAATGTTGTACTTTATATCACTTTTATTAAAATAATTTTTATAAACCTGTGTGTGTGGTTGCGTGTGTATAAAATTTTTATAATGTTTTTACAATTGACGACATTTCTTATATTACAAGAAAATAAATTTTTACATTTTACAACAAACTAAAGACACAATAATAAAAGTGAAAATATCTTTGAAAAAAACAGAACAAAGTTTGACATCTGTAAGACTGGTTTTATAAGAACTTGAACAAAGTTTTCTCAGTCTAGAATCTGTAATATTCCGGTGGCCCAAAATACGTGAAAGTGGACGAATATGCGGTATACGACGCGGGAAAATACGTCTGAGACAGCGGCGCAGGATATGTCGGTGGCGGTGGCGGCGGCGGCGGCGAGTAGCGAAACGCGTGGTGGGCGCCGAGAAATTGCGAGAAGTCCAGTGTATTCCGTCCCTGCCCCTGCATCTACGGTTCTGCATAATTTCTTCTTTTCCTTGTTCTCTGTCCAGCGCACTGCTTCGTTTATTGTCTGTAAAGAATATTAATATTATTTATTAACTTAACATTATTTATCAATTGGAATTTACGCATTGGCAATTATACTATTCAGAGTCCTGTGCTCCAAAATCCATGAATGCAAGCTCAATTAACGCGTTCTGGCTAAACAAGCAACTTCCCAATTTGTTTAAAATTTTATCTCTGCTGTAGGAAGCGAGATATCAATTGAAAGAATGATTAACTGCTAAAGTTAGAAAATTTGTCATGGCGAGGAATTGTAGGGATATTAATATACTCTGTGCATGTGCAAATTTCAGAGAAACATTTTGTACAGATGTACAAAAAATTTATGAAGATAATACTAATTAAAACAGAGTCATCTTCTGTTTTAACAAATATTTTCTACTTTATTTGTTGTACATCCATTTTTGTAAAATGCACACTGAGCGCTACAGAGTCATTGATGTGTGTATCAAATGTAGCACATAATTTTATAGCTTATAGGAAGTGTGACGTTGGCTTATATTGGTATTGCTCACAATCAATCGAATGTTCTATGCTTTACGTAATACCAAATTCAATTGCTTCCAGTAGTGCGCACTGAGGTTTGTTCATTGTTCGCTCTTCCATTTAGAATGGATTCTGTATGAATCATTTCACAGCCTAAGAAGTATTGAAAGTTGTATGTAACACGATTCTAAATGTAAGAATGAACAATGTTCAAGCCTCGATGCGCACTACTGAGAGGAACTGAATTTGCTATTACGTAAAGCATAGTATATTCGATAGATAATAACAATATGAGCCAATGTCACACTTCCCATAAGCAATATAATTATGTACTACAATTGATAAAGACATCAATTACTCTGTAACGCTCAGTATACATTGTACAAAAATGGATGTACAACAAATAAAGCAGAGAGTATTTGTTAAAGCAGAAGATGACTCTGTTTTAATTAGTATGCTCTGCATAAATTTTGTAAACATCTATTTCTCTAAAATTTTCACACGTACAGAGTATATTAATGTCGCTACAATTCCTCGCTATGACAGATTTCCTAACCTTAGCAGTTATTCATTTTTACAATTGATATCTCGCTTCCTATAACAGAACAACGATTTTAACAAATTAGGACCTAACTTGTTATGCCAAAACGCGTTAATTGAGCTTGCATTCATTCATTTTGAAGCACAGGATTTTAAACTATAAAACTATGTTCCTTTTTTCATATGTGACAAAAATTAAATAAGCACTTACCTTGCGCAGCATCCGAGTTTCCCGTTCCTCCTCAGTCCCCGTGTTTCTTCCTGCATTCCCTTCTGCATGTATATTGCACAACGGTCAACGGTCTCCGGCCGCTTGTGGTCAAATTTTTTGGTATCCTGAAGTCCCTCGATGGCAAGAGCTCCTCCTCTGCGCGTGGCCTCGTCCTCTGCTGCATAGCACTTGTCATTCTCTGCTCCCGTTTTTTGGTCCTTCCAGACCCTTTGGCCATCGATGGCGACGGCGATGCCGTCGCTGTCGCTGTTGAACAAGGTATTGCACTTCCCTCGCTTCGTGCTGCAAGACAAAAAGTAACATTATTTTACTTTCATTTGTATATAAGTTATGCATCCTGCGATGCATTAATAAAATATACACATCGTTGACTATGTGTATACAATACGTTATGCACTACATGTTCTTAAATTCGTTCCTATTATAACAAATATGATACTTACATCTCGACATGGTAGCACATTATGTTGCTCGTCGCTGTATATTCACGTTTGAGCGCGTTGGTGCTGTCTCGCCACGATTTCGGCCGAAAGCATGTTCGAGTAACTTCGGCGAGCGCGCCAGATTCTTCTCACTCTATTTCGAAATAGGGAAGAAGAAATAGGGAAACAATCTCGTAGACAACGTCGAATGTCTGTTGCTATAGGCCGGCGTTCTTATTGTAAACAAACGATTGAGCACGTGCTATCGCCTTGGCGCGTATTTAAGATGGCGCAAATTTTAGAGAAATAGATGTACATAAAATTTATGCGGAGCATATTAATTAAAACAGAGTCATCTTCTGCTTTAATAAATACTCTGCTTTATTTGTTGTACATCCATTTTTCTACAATGTATACTGAGCGTTACAGAGTAATTGATGTCTTTGTCAATTGTAGTACATAATTATATTGCTTATGGGAAGTGTGACGTTGGCTCATATTGCTATTATCTATCGAATATATTATGCTTTACGTAATAGCAAATTCAGTTGCTTCCAGTAGTGCGCACTTGAGGCTTGAACATTGTTTGTTCTTACATTTAGAATCGTGTTATATACAACTTTCAATACTTCTTAGGCTGTGAAATGATTTATACAGAATCCATTCTAAATATAAGAGCGAACAATGAACAAGCCTCAGTGCGCACTACTGGAAGCAACTGAATTTGGTATTACGTAAAGCATAGCACATTCGATTGATTGTGAACAATACTAATATGAGCAAACGTCACACTCTCTATAAGCTATAAAATTATGTGCTACAATTGACACATACATCAATGACTCTGTAGCGCTCAGTGTATTTTAACAAAATGGATGTACAACAAATAAAGTAGAGAGTATTTGTTAAAACAGAAGATTACTCTATTTTAATTAGTATTATCTGCATAAATTTTTTGTATATCTGTTTCTCTAAAATTTGCATAGAGTATATTAATTTCGCTATAATTCCTCGCTATGACAGATTTCACAACTTTAGCAGTTATTCATTCTTACAATTAATATCTCGCTTCCTACAGCAGAGCAACGATTTTAACAAATTGGGAACTAACTTGTTATGCCAAAACGTGTTAATTGAGCTTGCATTCACGGATTTTGAAGCACAAAACTCCAAATAGTATAATTGCCAATGCGTAAATTTTAATTGATTAATAATGTTGAGTTATAAATAATATTCTTTACAGACGATAAACAAAGCAGTGCGCCGGGCAGTGTACAAAGAGCAGAAAAAATTCATTATGCAGAGCTGTAGAGACATATGCAGAGGCGTAATACACTGTACTTCTCGCAATTTCCCCGCGCCCACCACGCTACGTACTCTCCACTGTCGCCGCCGACGTATCCTACGCCGCCGCCGCCACCGACATATCCTGCGCCGTTGTCTCAGACATATCCTCCCGCGCCGTATACCGCATATCCGTCTAGTTTCACGTGTTTTGGGCCACCGGGATATTACAGATTCTAGATTGAAAAAACTTTGTTCAAGTTCTTATAAAACCAGTCTTACATTTGTAAAACTTTTTTCTTTTTTTTTCAAAAATATCTTTTCACTTTTATTGTGTGTTTAGTTTGTTATAAAATGTAAAAATTTATTTTCTTGTAATGTAAAAAATGTCTTGTAATATAAACATTGCTACAATTGTAAAAACATTGTAAAAATTGTACACACACACAGGTTTATAAAAATTATTTTAAGGTGATATAAAGTGCAACATTCAATGAAAAATTTACTTATTAGATTTTTTCTCTTCACATTGTCTATTAAATATTCATCCCTCATTTGCAATAAAACATTAGTTTAAATACACCCTTATTCTTCTTCATAGCAGATAAATATTTTAATAATATTCCACCTTATAGGGGAAAAGATATTAATATAATAATATTTTTCTGCTATAAAGAGAAATAATATTGTATGTAGAATGTTCGCGACGCGAGCGAAAACCCGCGGAGAGTCGTCGCGATAAGCGCGCGACACCAGCACGTGCTTTTCACGTGCCTAGATGTTCCGCGGCGCGTGCCAGGTAAGCTGTAAGAAACGCCGATTAATGCTCTACGTTGTCATAGCAACTGCGGACAAACAATGTTTCCGCGAATCGACAGCCGGCACGCGCCGCGGAGCCTCACATCTCGCGAAACATCTCCTTTTAAGGAAATTTCGGCACGCGACCAGCGATCACCTTTGCTCGGGACCAATCAGCGAGTGCCAGAGACGATGAGGAAGAGGGCTCGCTCCATGCAGCAACTGACCGTGATTTTTGAAGCGAGTCTCACTTTCGAAGCAGTCGCATAGCTGGTGAGACGCAGTTGGAGAGCCGGAGCAATCGATAGCGCGTGTAAGGTTCGATCATTTTCGTATTTGCGGAATTACGCTTGCTTATCTATTTGTTTCTCTCAGTCGGTTCGCTTTTTGGGAAGCGAATCTCTGCGACAGACAGACTCGTCGTTTCAATTAGTCTGCTGTCGCCTTAAACTCAAAACGTCACGATTAAAAACCGTCAAATTCACATTGCGGGGTCGCCGTCCACCGTCGGCGATCGCTTACGCGCGAATTGTCGGTTCGCTCCGGTTTTTCACCTGTCCGTCGCATCGAGCGACGGTTAGCTACGGCGATCTAGCGCCGTCAATCGCTGTGCGTTCGCACTAACGCGGACGAAAGTCATTCCGGCTGCTCGCTTCGATTCGTCTCGCGCTCGCGATTGAGATTACGCACATATCCACGATTGCTCGAAGCGGTTACATTTGTTATATTATATCAGTGTTGTCAGTGGTATTTTGCGTGGAAATTTCGCTCAATCTAGACGACCGTATCGCGTTAGAGTCGACAGTCACCGTGGTGCAAGATCTCCGTCGGCCGCGTCAAGATCTCCGTCGGCCGGGCATCCGTCAGATGCCCTTCAAGTTCTCCGTCGCGGTTTGTGACTCACTTTGCGACTCTCCGAAGATTTCCGAAACTACGGTCAAGTCGAGACCTCCGCGGTGTGAACTGTTTAAAATAAAGTGCAATATTCAGCTATACCGAATCATTTACTCATTTTCTGGTTCTCCCTTTCCTCGCTTCACCGGACCTGCGAGGTCGATCCAGCACGTAGAGAATTCACTCTCGGAATTTGAGCGAATTCGCTACATAGAATATTTTCTTCTACAGCCATATCCAACAATACTCCTCCTTGATTCGCCACTTACTTTGGGCATGAATATACCAGGTGTACAAGTATGAAATGCGGATTTTTTTCCAAAAAAAACACGTTAAAGTCGGAAGAATGATAAAAAGAGGTTTATTCAAAGTATGCTCCATTGCTAGTTACACATTTTTCCCATCTTTCAGGCAATTTATGGATACCACGCCAGTAAAAATCTTCCTCTTTTGCCGCGAACCATTCATCGAGCCATTTTTTCACATTTTCGTACGAAGCGCTGCTCAGCAAGTGCGTGACCCATCGATGCAAACAAATGGTGATCGGAAGGAGCCAAGTCTGGTGAGTAAGCCGCATGGGGTAGAACTTCCCAGCTGAGTGCTTCCAACGTGTCGCGAACCGGTTTTGCCGTATGTGATGGAGCATTGTCATAGAGAAAAATGATCTTGTGTTGCCTCTTTTGGTATTCTGGTCGATTTTCAAGCAGCGAACGATTCAAATTGATCAATTGTTGTTGGTTAGCGTTTGGTATTAACCGTTTTACCAGACATTAATAGCTCATAATAGACCACACCCTTCTGGTCCCACCAAACACAGAGCATCGTCTTCCTGCCAAAGCGATTCGGTCTTGCGGTCGATGTGGATGGTGCGCCTGGGTCTACCCATGATTTTTTGCGCTTGAGATTCTCAAAATAAATCCACTTTTCATCCCCAGTAACGATACGATGCAAAAACGACTTTCTTTTGTATCGTTCGAGCAAAATTTCACATGTGTTTTTGCGCCTCTCCATCTGCCTCTCGTTCAACTCATGTGGTACCCATTTGCCGATCTTCTGAATCTTTCCCATCTCTCGTAGGCTATTGGAAACAGCTTGTTGACTAACGTTCAATTGCTCTGCGAGTTGTTTTTGTGTTTGTGAATCATCTTCGTCCAACAATGCTTGCAACTCCACATTTCGTATCTTTTTGGCGGTTTTCCGTGTTCCTTGTTTGCAACATCGAAATCACCACTTTTGAAACGCCGAAACCATTGTTCACACATATCTTGCGATGGAGCATGTTCACCATAAGCTTCTCGAAGTAATCGGTATGATTCAGCAGCAGTTTTCTTCAAATGAAAACAAAAAATTAATGCTGTCCGCGAATGCTCTTTATTTGGTATAAATTTCGACATATTGAACACAGCAACACAACAATATGCAAACACTTTTCCAATTTATCACTCATGCGCGTTTGACACTTGTTGATGGCACAACAAAATGGCATAAACGTCAAATCTTTATACCACACACTGCATTGGTGCGCCATCTGTTTTCTCAAATCCGCATTTCATACTTGTACACCTGGTACATCAGACCTGATAGACTCATGTACATAAAATTTACATCTATTGAAAGTATATTATATCACGAAATGCAAAGTCGAAAAGAGCAATTATAATAAATTAGTAGTTTTTATTTTTCTTTTATATGGCTGCATATCATTGCAAATGCTTTTACAGAATGAAACTGCAGATATCTGTGAATGGAGATACAGCAAATATAATTTGAAATAAAACATGAAATTTTAATTTTCTCATATGTACAATATCACATACAGGGTGTTTTTTTTTTTAACTTGAGACTGCTAAATATCTCGAAAAATAAGGATTGTACGACAAAAATGTCCCAAATAAACCCTCAATAGTTTTGAGGGCGCAATTCAATCCCATAAAAATTATCCACCTCCCGCCCCCCCTGGGGATGGGGCGGGGGGTAACTTTGAAATCTTAAATGGAAACTCCTACTTTTTATTACAGATTCGGATTCTACATAAAAAAACACGTAACTTTTGTCTGAACTTTTTTTTCTATTTCT